CTGTTGTTCATTATTTGCATTTAATTACTCGATTGTATAATTGTGTTTGTAACCAAACGAAAATTCAAGTTGCAAAAATAATTTTTTTCTCTACGTACCGACTTGGTTTTCTTATGTAGAATTATCTTCCTTAATAAACTCAACTGGAGGCTTACCAACATCGATTTTTAAATGCAAAATTGGATAATTTAATTTTGAATTTGATCTGAAAGTGTTGTTTTCATGTGAAAAATGTGTTTTAGTTACTTCATCGTTATATGTTAAACTGTGGAATTGATTATATAATTTTTTTGTGATTTAACAAGCGTGTAATTTAAACTATTGATTCCATCAAGACGATATCTGACTTTTGTGAAGGATAATATTTGAGTTCTGAGATGAAATAGAAAGTATTACATGAAAATGATTTGTAGTAATTTACCAAAATGAGAATAATTTTTGACATATGCATACAATATATTACGAGGTATACCATTAAAATCTTGAATTATTTTATTCTACAATGTAAATTCTCACTCTCATGCGCCAAATTTATAACGAGTCTAAAATCGGTAACGATATTGTGTAGAGACGAGTTTAAAATAACCGTGATGACTTTCCAGATAGTTTCCAAACAATCGCAGGGCAGCCTTTATAGATGGATAGTTTGTGAGTGAGAAAATAATATTGCAAAATGTAAACGAATAGTACACAACTATCAAGTCTATTATTATCTTCTACAAGTTATTCTGCCCATAAATCGAAGATAGTGATATAAACTCATCATAATGGATATACCTTATCCATATCCTCGAACCCTTTCAAGGACTGAAACAAGTTTTTAAGAGTTTCTATATTGGTTCTAGTTACGGTTAGACACTTTGGGCTAGAATTAAGGATCCAGAGTTTGTTTTTTTTATCACGAAATGACATCAGTTATAATGTAAAATGCTCTGTCGATAGAAATACAAATGTAAAATTACGGTAGAAGGAAAAATCATTTGATGTGCTAAAAGATCCAAATTTACATTAGTACTATCGAATATCTATATATACAGAAAAGGTATTATTGATGAACAATATAACTTCGTAATAGAACTGTCCTGTTTACCCATTTTAGTTGGGTTAACCATTCGTTGAAAGTTAGACTTAAGGGTGGATCATGTGGTTGATTCATTGTAGATCGTAAAGTAATTGGACTTTTAAGATGAACACTGTATTAATTTGTTCATGAATAGAGTGATTTATGCTTTGCGTTCGTTCATTGACAAAAATACTTAATTTCATGCTAATATTTAAAACATACCTTAAGGCTGAATGAAATGCAAGACTTGGTTTATGTTTGAGCATTGTGAATTGTGCTACATTTGGATCAGGACGTATGACAGGAATTTCATTTATCATAAGCCTGTGAAAAAATACTTTAATAGCTGAATAAAAGCAGTATACCATGAAATAAAACAGAAAATTCAAATTTTAAAATTTATCATTAAGTTGTATTCCATTTCTTAAGGAAATTATTGAATCTTCATGAATTTATGTATAACAGTCGAATTACGATGCATTTGCACATACGTTTGTCTGGTTGATGTATTATTTCAAATAATTCATAACAGCATCAATAAGGTTTTTTCATTTAACACAATGTTTTGAGTTATTGAGTTAACTATGTATATGAATCGTAACAACAAGAAGATCCGCATCATCATTTGTAAGTTGACCCATTTAATACAGAAAAGTCAAGAGGTTTAACTACTTATACAACCAGACTTGTATACATTACTCATCTATGTTTTTATTAATGTAACCAATCGCAATTGTATTTAATTTGTAAAAAACTCGTTCTTACGTACAAACACATACAATGACTAAGCATAATGAATTATTGATCTGAATATAAAGCACTCACCTCTCATACACATCATCGTCCTCTGCACCCCAACCCCAAAATAAATTAGAATACCCATTGACACGAAGAAAGGCTTTAAGTGGAATGGATAAAACACCACCAATTAGTTCAATGTAAGGGAGCCTTTTCAAAAAAATATAAAACAAAACAAAACGAGGACTTAGTCGAGAAAATACACAATTTTTGAATTATTTAAAACATTCGAATTAAGTAATGTCTTGAGTTGATTGTAGGTGAGTTTTCAATGTAAAAGACAGATTATATCCTAAATTGTTTTGCTGAAAGACTATTGAAAACTTCACAGCGATATGCATTTGTATGCGGTCGTAGGTGTTTGAATATCAGTCCATAGTTTTAAATTACTTCAAAATTGAACAGATCTTTATAAATCATATAATTGATTTATAATTGTATATTCACCGATGACAACTTCAAGAGGACACACGGTGGGTGAAGACAGGTATAACTATATGCGCCATAAATAATGAACTAATTTTATATGGTAAAGGTTTTTTCTTCATTCAATCATTTTTCTTGTTTTATAGTTGATATACAGTACGGAAAGTTGATTGGTATCAGCTGACAACTTGATAACTGTTGAATGAAAAAGCATGTGTAATAATGATTCGTTCTGTAGAGTATAAAACCTCTTTGTCTATCTCAACCTGTGTTTGTAGTGAATAATTGTCATTGATTCTGATAAAATCTTTATTAATCAATCAATTCACCCAGTCATACGTAAACTAGAACCTGGTATGTGTATATCGGTTCAAGTTTCCACGCCCATTCAGTCAGTTAGAGGATAAATAATAATAATAATAATAATAATAATAATAATAATAATAATAATAATAATAATAATAATAATAATAATAATAGTGAGAATAATAATAGCAATAGTAGGTACCTGTTTTGAAATTTATCTACGCTTACACTGATATGTTTAGGATAGATTGAGCATGTATAATCAACTTCATTGTTCATTGGTATTAGATCAACATCATGAAATATTGCACAATGAAACGGCAACCAATTCAATGCTTCCACAAATGCAGTATTCATGACTATTCCCTTATTAAATGGCTGTTGATCAATCTGTGAAGAGGGATAATTATTTTCAGAAGATAGTGGAAACAAATGGTTCGAATAGGTTCAGATATGACAGACAACCAGTGGTAAATGCAAACCTCAAAATTTTTATTAGAGAATACAATGTAGAAATAAACAATTTAAGAGAATTTTATAATTTAAAATCTAATAAAGTGTATGTGGGATAATGGGAATTGGATTCACTCTTAGCTTTGAGATAAACTCTTGATAAATCAAACTCAAGTGAAAACGAATGTTCGACTCCACAAGACTCACTGGAAACTAGAAGTTAATTAGGTCTCTGCACCTGAATACTATCAGACTATTACTATGAATAAAATCTTAGGATACTCATTTCATTTTTGTTCTGTCCTGTTCCCTTGCACAAAGACAGAGAATCTTGGTCTCAAACACCTGTGTGGTTATTAGTGCTCATTACTAGAGAGTGTTGGTTTCAAACAAGAGAGCTGCTCAGTACTTCGTGGTTTCTAGTAGTTCTTTAATTGCAAGTAGTTTGTGATAAAAAATAACTTATCACTGACATATCTACATAAATGTTTACTTTAATATTCGAAAACAGTTATTGGCACAATGCCGTCCTTATGATAATAAAGGTTTGCATACAATCATCAAGTCTGAATTCAAAAGATAATGTTCTCATCATAAAGGACAATTTCGATTTTAAAATAAAATTATATGGTACTAAATAACTTTGGATCGTTTTAACGATACTCCTGTATGAAAGTTTATGAAATCATACGGTTACTGGTTGTTACTGAAACAGGGGTATCACATCAAACTGGCATGGCTCAATAAGTAATAAGATTATTAGTATTATTTAAATAATAATGATAATTACTTATTCAGAAACATACCTGTTCAGAAACAATTAACAAGTAACATAGATTCTGTTTTGTCAGTAATTCAACCAGACGTGGAATTAATTTCATCAAGTGTTCTGCACGATTTCGATATGGTATAATAATGACATTACGTCGAGTATATGGTTGATTTGAAATAAGACAACTATTTCGACATCCCTCACTGTTGAACAACTGATGAGTACCATTCAAAACTAGTGAGCAACAAAAAAAACCCGTAAAAATATTATTTATTCGAACTAATAAGCTATATTCCTTCTGTAATAGTTTGGTTGGTCAATAGCTTGATATACTAAATTGATAGCAAGTTTCCTCTAGTTGGAAACAAAGCTGATCGAAAAATATTTAGACGTCTTTCTCACTTTACAATGTGATTTGTTAAAGTTTTACTAGATATAAAGATAACTTTCACCACGAACTTGATATTGGTTGGAAAACTGGGGAATGAGGGTATAAAATAATGGTTTCCATCTTAGATTGGAACTCTTCCTGATCCCCCTCCAAGACCTCACGAGAACTTAAAACATTCAAGCCCCATAAACGCGAACGATATCATGGAGAGATAGAACAGGGATAAAACTGTTCACATTCTCAATTTTAGTCGATTACTGATGTGGTGTGGTCAAAGACCGATATTGATACTGAGTGACTTCCTCATGCCTGACATTGATAAACTCGATCTTTCACTAAAACTCTAGTAATTCAGTAAATTTGTCTTGAGGTTATTCATAAGTGAGTATCGGATTATTGTTCGGTGAGGTGACTTATGGATACTAGTTACATTTGAAGATAAAGCTCTTGAAGATTTTCCTACTGTTTCCAGTCCATCACTAATTTCACGTAATCTCTACCAATCACACAACTGAAAGATAATCTTGTGATCAGAGCATTAAATTACCAAAAACAAAACATACCTTTTAGGCAAAATTCTTTTTCATGCTTAAACCAAGCTCTCTCTACAGTATCACCGACATCTTCCACTGTTGGAATGTCTGGATTTAATAGTCGAGATAATTCATTTGTAATGAATAATGCAAGTTCCGAATCAATTCTAGGGCGGAACATTGGGCTATTGACAACAGAAAATGATAACCATTGGTGAAATATTAAGCATAGAAACAAGGTAAAGCCACAAATAAAACATATCAAGGTGTAAAGTATTATCTTCATTTCTTTAACGGATAATCAGTAAGAATTGTCTATTTTTGGCTGTGACTAAAATTCCGCAAATTTAATCGGGAAAACTATTTCCTTTCCTAGATCGATATATTTAAAATCATCCAATCAGACAACAAATTTAATCCTGAAACTGATTGGAAGAAAGTGTGAATTTATTAATTGATTTGGTATTGTCCAATAGTAGCTTAAATACTGATGATTGCTGATTGTTTCAGTTCATTTATGTTAGATAATTATTCATTAGGAAAAAATTGAATGACAAGTTCAAACTAAGACGTAACACATTTGGAGGCCATATGAGGATATATAATGCCACCTTTAATAATTCAACCAATACTGTATTACTATCTATGGATAGGGACAATATGAACTATATAATATTAGCCAAGGCAAAAATAACTGATGAGACTTTAAGTTATGGACGACCATAGAGTGACTCTAAACTGACCTTGAGAAAAGTCATCTACTTACTAGAGTCAAAAAGGGTTATAGATTAGGATTAGGATTGAGAGTTAGAAGTTAGGGTTAGGAACTAGAGTTAGGGTTTTCATCACGAACTACATCAGCTATGACGCCGAAATGCTATTTATCCATATGGTTGAATAAAATTCGCTCCAAAAGTCTAAGACTTGCTGTTGGGTATTCTAGATCACCAGAGATCACTTGGTAAACGTCTCATTTTTGTAATTGAATTGTGGAAATTTAAATTCCTGATTGTCGAACTAAAGGAGCCCATTATTACCTTCAGCTTGTGATCCCCACCTGGAAGGATCTAAACATCTTTGATTCGTTTCCCCTTTTAGTACACTATTTTGTGACGCTTTTAACGGACATTTCTGCGCTGTATATTTTACTTACGAGTCGAGTGATTATTATTCATCCTTCTAGGCTGCTTGCGGAATTACATATTTTCTTTGCTGACTCTGGTCTTGTTTCTCTAGTTATCCAGGTTGGGGTGCATAGGAATAGCTTAGCATCGTCCTGTTATTGCATCGCTGGTTTAAGCTACGTTCTCCGGCGACTGAGTGATATGACAATATCTCGAACATAGCACATTCAACTTTTGGTTTCATTAGTTAGTTTCATTAGCCTCCCCTCACGTTTGTGTTTTACAAGAACTTTCGCCCTAACTTGAATGAAAAAATTTGCAATAATTGAGCTTCGAGTTTATAGAAAACATTAAATAATGAAGTTACATTTGTGAAACTCCCAGCCAGTGAAATTGAAAAATCCAAAATTTTTCTCAGAGTTCTATTCTGCGTTTGTTCAATTAAATGATCAAACATCATATGTCATTTCTTTTTTAGATGTTTATATATTTTTCAGCATATTTGCTTATTTGTTTCGATGGAATGTTAGACATATTTAATAAACTGAACCACCGATCATGTCCTAAGTGGTAGTTATTCTATGGAATATAATTCAAATAGAGATAAAAAATTGCTGGTTGTTAATCACACCAAAGTCCTCACTAAAGTCGTTTTTTGTGAAAATTCACAGCTTGAAGGAACTTCAGTTGAAACCTTTCGGATATTTGTTCTGTTTTATTTTATTGCTTCTTTTCATTAAGCTAAATAGGTACAAATATGATACTTTTCAACGTTACCAATCGTCATTTTACGCTTATAGTTTAATGACGATATACTTTTAATCTTTGAGTAGTATATCCATTGTTTGTCAAAATGTTATCGGAAACTTGTTTTTAGCTCGCAATATCTATACAAATTCGTTAAAGCTGGGAAATGTAGACCACAGGATTTTAGCTCAGTGACAGATAATAACATCCACACTATAGATTCTAGATATCTAGGCCTCCATTTTGTTTGTGGTCAAACATCTTGACAATTGAATAGTTTAGATGATAATGGCTTTTAGTATTGAATTTTTTTCCGACTAATATCAGTTCATGGCTTCAGCTAATTTTCCTCTAATCATTTCTTGACAAATCACCGCCTTTAATTGATGACACACTCATATCTCGGACATATATTTTTTCCAGTTACCAGTAAATCATGCCGTTTTTACTCGTCTATTAGTATCATCTTCTCTAAATATTCAAACAGGTGTGTTTAGGCTAGTTAAAATATTTCTCGACAATTGTAACCAGTGGCGTCCAATCCGTGTTGGGTAGAGATAGGTAACTACTTCAGACAACAGATGAATGGTTGCGCAACCATTCATGGATCGGCTGATGTTAGACATTAACACCGTTGGATGTCGGCTCAGTGGTCTACAGGTCAAGTGTTCGCACGCGAGACCGAAGGTCCTGGTTTTGAATCCTGTGTGCGGGGTCGTGGGTATGCACTGTTGAGGGGTCCCATACTAGGACGAATCAGTTTTTCAACGGTGGTCTAGCCTACATCGACTCATGAATTCAACTCTTAAAATTGTATAATTATTTGAATGTTATTGACACAGATGTCCTTCATTCTTGTCTAAAATATAGTAGTAATTAGTTCCCGTGATCTGGGAAATCGCATATCGGATGGTAATGAAACACAGTCAGCTTACACCAGTTAATATAAAAATCCTATGATAAGAAAGTCTATTTAACCATTAGGTGCTTTTAGCTGGCTTCTGACAACATTTATTGAATTCCTGTATTACTTTTCCCTCCTTCTTACTGTTGATATACATGGTATGAACATTTTACTTGAATATTTTACTTATAAAGTACTTTTTGCTTGTGTTTGACAGATACCATGCACATTTGTATTGACAAGAATTTAAATTAATTTAAACAACACTAGACTCAATATTCGTTATAATTATATCTAATGAAATATTTGAAAAGTTAGCGTGGAATCTTGAAATTTTCTGCACAGTTATGAATGGGCTTCTTTTCTTTTCATTTATTCTGTAGTGATAAAATTATCCTTGATTTCTCACATAAATATGATTTAACCTCTGATGTGTTGATCATAACAAAATACTAACTTCGTAGTTAGCATAGAAACTCACCGATCTACAATTTTTAAAATGTTAACAAGCTAGAAGGAGGAATTAAAGTAAAGAAGTAAAGTCATCATACGTTGTTGCTGTGGTTACTAGTAACCTTAAGCCTCGAGCAAATAGTGTCAAAATTAACAATAATTTGAATACTCTGTCAAGTGAAATTAGTAAAGATGAAAACGTCGAAATTCGAAATCTATTGAAAATTTAACAAGAGGACTGATTGGCTAAAAGTATTCAAGTCATGAATCGAATTCTTTTGAATTTGCAAAAACAACTGATAACTTCTCCTAAAACAATTACTTCTAGACATAGGTGTACATATTGAAAAATTAGGTATTTTAAGAATAGCTATTTTAAAATCACCTTTTGAACTCATTTTATATTGTTTATTTGAATTTTCCCATTGATGTTTAGGACTGCGATTCCACTGCTAGCCACCATCCATCTCTGCTTATAATGCTTGTAATGTAATACAATATCGAGGCAGTCCTCACAGGATGCACATATGCAAATAAAAGACTGATCAATCGCAGTGCTAAACATCAACGAGAAAATTCAGACAACCAGTACAAAATGAATTGAAACTTTGATCCATTGCACAAGCTAGTGGTTATCTGGACTAAGTACCTACTTAATCACTTACTTACTCCTGTTAACCTTAGTAGTCGTGCACAAGTCTCCAATCAGGATTCTTCATCCAACTCTGTCCTGGGAAATCCCTTCCAGTTGCTATTAGTCCTTTTCATTTCTGTTCCCAATTCCCGACGTAGTGTGTTCTCCGGCCTTCCACTTTTCCGTTTCCCATCAGGATTCTAAGTCAGCGCTTGCCTCGTGATTCAGTTTGGTGATTTCTGTAATGTGTGTCCTATCCAATTCCAACATCATTTTCTAATTTCCTCTTCAGCTGGAAGCTGGTTTGTCCTCTCCCACAGTAGGCTGTTGCTGATGGTATCCGACCAATTGACATTGATTATCTTGTGTAGACAATTGTTTATAAGTAGCTAAGTGGATAACATGACGGCGTTTCAGATGAACGGTACTGGGTTTGAGTCCCGAAGTGATCTTTAACTCTGGGATGCAGGTACATCCAGCTGACAAGTCCCAAATCGGGAGAAAGGCGCGTCCTCTATTCCACTGATAGCCATCCTCCATCTTTGCTTATTGTCACCTTTTGAACTTTTTTCATTTCTGCATTTCAGAATGAAATCCTACATTGTATTCTTATCCAAATGGATTCATTCACTTTCCATTCAAAACAACGACATTTACAACGTCATGTTGCACGTTTAAAGTGAATAGGAATAGGTTATTGTTTATTATTTATCAGAGTAACGAAAGGTGGGATAAATAGTCATGTTTCCTTAATACAATTACTACTAAAACTCGAGGATCAAGGTTTTGTATAAGTATAAAATGGAACCACAAACTATCACAACTAATAGGTCTTAATAAATACGAAACTGTGAAATTTTCTACAAAAGGGCTGAGCAACAGATAGGTTTGTAATTAACCGACCATAAAATATATGAAAACAATTTTTGAGTAAAGAGAGATAGATTATAATTAGGGACCACATATAAATAAAGTGATCTAACTGTTTCGGTAACTAAGCATTAGGAACGTAACAACTAACTAAAAATAAATAATATCCATTCAAGATTCACATTTATTTTTCTCTTTTTCTTGCCTAACTGGTATTACTTAGTTAATAGCTTTAAACAAAGACGAAAAACTTCCTGGGTTCTACGGAGAACTTTCTTTATACTTGTTAATTTAGTTGAAATTAGCCTAAATGAAAGTGTCCAACTGTAAGACAAGTCTGAAATCAAAAGAAAATAACGAAAGTCAAATACTAATTTACTGGATTCGTATTCATTCTAGTCGTTTTAAGATGTTTCTGGACAGTTTTGTAAGTCTATAATTGAGTTTAACTTCAACAACAGTTTAAATTTACACAGTAATCTTGGTCAGTAAAGTTCAGAACCATCCGAATGAAAAACATCACATTTGATAATGAAACCAAGAGAGCATCCAACTTATGTGCTAAAATAAATGTCTGATGAAAATAGGATTATGCTACTTACTATGTTTA